ATCATTATAAACCAAGAATCGCCATACTGTTTTTGCACACTTTGTTACGTTCAATGTATAACACGTACAGCAGATTCTTTTTAGATAAGATAACGATAAAAATGGACAGGAAGTGACTGGTTTTGACTGAAAAAAGTCTTAAATACCAAAAAAGGGCCAAAGTATTATCTAAGCCTTTGTTTTTAATCAAAACTGCCATTTTAATGCAAGAAAAGTTATATCAGCTAACAAGCTTCATTTTCAACCCAAGTGCTGAATGATGGTTTATGACTCCGGAATTATTTTAGTATATTCTCACTTTTATTTACTGCATCAGGTTTGACCACATGTCAGCAGACGTCTTGTCAGAATGGAGGCAGTTGTGTCCCGCAAGAAAACTCCTTCGTTTGCATGTGTACGTTATTCTGGACAGGAGACTACTGTGAAACAGGTATGCATAATCCTTGGTGTCAATAGCTAGTCAGCGTTGTTAAGTTTTGATTATTGAGGGCACACACGAGGGAGGCAATGTAGACTGGCAAAATTTGCTGTGCCAGGTTTCTTTCCTAATCAAAATCCTTAAATTATCGCATTGCTAGACATCAATGAATGTGTGGAGAACAACCCGTGTGCTGCTGACCGCATCTGTATCAACTTGCAAGGAAGCTACTTGTGTGGATGTCAAGCCGGCTTCTTTCTTGTTGGAGACACCTGCCTAGGTGAGCATGTGCTTGATGGCCAAGTGTCATGCAATAAACAATTGTCTAATTGTGATCTGTTCTCAAAGATCTGACCTTCTGGAGTGATTTTCCTATCAATGATGCCATTGGATATTTGTACGATTCTGCTGTTAAATCCCTCAGTCTCTCTTTGCATCAGTAGAATGGATCTCCTCCGTCGGATATTCATTTGCCAATGATTTTCCACCGTAATTTATTATTCAGCCACATCGGAATTCAGTGGGTCATTTGCCATCACGCGCATTGGTAGTTCAGAGGCTATATTTACCCGGGATCTTGAAGACCCAACATCGGACCAGTACCAGAGAATAGCTGGAGATGTCATCGGTGTGGTAAGGCAGAGAGTTGTGCCTTGTTTTTATTTCTTCCACAGTGGACGGAAAATGATATTATTGAGTTTAAGTCGTAATTTTCTAAAACGTCTGCTCAGAAAATATTAGAGAATCAGAATAAAATTTTCGCATGTAGCGAAAACGAAAGCCATTTCTTTACTGCACATGGCTTGTCTTTACCAAACACTTCCCTCTAGGAATATCAAAAGTATAATAATGTAAAAATATAAACAATATAGAAAATTTGTATCCTGAAATCATTCCCTCAGAAATCAGGAACCACCTAACAATGAGTTAGAAGTCCACATTTTCTGGGCTTTTCACTGGCCCCTTCCACTAAATGATATACACTATATGACTTCATCCTTCCAATAATTTACTTGTATTTTTCTCCACCGTAGCTGGACAGTATCTTTGCAGACGAGAGCTCCTACATCGAATCTCATGTTGTTAGCATGTCCAGTGGTAGTATCAGGGTCCAATACGTCCTTGTCTTCACTGAGGACACCAACGTGACCGAAGATGTGGTTACCAACCAAATGAGAGCGAGTATTGCTGCAGACGGCGAGATTGCAAGCAGCACCCTCTATATCAGACTGTCGTCCCTGTCTGTTGCTAGGCGTAAGTCACATTGTGTTAGATCATAGTCATAGCGTGTCCATATTGTGAATTTCACAGGTTAAGAGAGAGTAATGGAGGGCGGGACCTTTTCTTTGCAATGTAAACAGGTAGGAGAAATTATGATGATCCCGATTCCATCTCAAACCCAGATGAGAACAATCTCACTACTTCCCCTCCATTTATTTCCAGATAAATTCTGAAACGGATTTTCACGCAGCGGAAAAATCTACCTATACCATGGAGGAAATTCACTGAATGTCTTTTCTTTGATGTTCTAGATGTATGTCCAGCTGGTTATTGTAAGAATGGCGGCACCTGTTCACCAGATCCTGTGACATATGAGAGCACGTGCATGTAAGGCTGTGGGTTTTATATTGTTGAGCATTGATGAGGAAGGAAGGGCAAAGTTAGATTTGGTTGGGTTTGGGTAGAATAAATTTGGCAAATGACATTGCCTTGGACGTTTGCTTAATTCGAATTTGTATTCGTATGTTGAGCCCAAACTGGTTGGCAGTTTTCTTTTGGTTTCCGTAGGTTACGTTCAAGCGAGCTACTCGTTAACACTAGTATACTCCTTCAGTGTGTTTGCGCAGTTACACTTGTTAACACAAGTAGGATGTGTGTCCATTACACTCGAGTGCAGGAGTGTACTCTCCCTATAGCGAGACTATGCTCGCCCTAACCTTTGGGTCGTACTCCAGCCATTCGAGTGCTTAGGAGTATACTCGTGCTAACACGACTAGCTGGCTCGAATGCACACATTTGGTTTCCATTGGGTGTCCATTTGGTTTTCATTGGGTGTTCATTTTACGGTGGCTGATCTCCGCCAGTACGCTTTTTTATTTTATGGCGTAATAACGCACTATTTTAAGCTCTAATAACGCCCTATTGTGGCATTATAACGCCCTATTACGATGTAATAACGCTCTACGGCGTCCATGCAATAACACATGTGGCTCTGCTTATGGCGCCTAGTATTTGTAGTTACTGTGGCCATCCTTGGACAGTTCGAATCTTGCAAGGTATGTGATAAAAGCACCTTTGTCTGCAGGGAGCAGAACGCTATTACGCCGCAATTGGGCATTGTAATGCCATGATAGGGTGTTATTACACCTTAAAATAGGGCGTTATAACGCTATACTAGGGTGTTATTACGTTTTATAATAGGGCGTTATATCGACTTAATAGGGCATTATTACGCCTAAAATTAGGGTGTTATTAAGCCCTAAATTAGGGCGTTACTATGCCCTATACGGCATAAACTAGGGCGTCATAACGCCGTATTAGGGCGTTATAATGCCGTAAAATAAAAAGTGTATTCCTGGTGGAGATCTGCCACCGTACAATTTGGTTTCCACTGAGTGTCCTTTGGTTTCCATTAGGTGTCCATTTGGTTACCATAGGGTGTCCATCTGGTGTCCATTGGGTGTCCATTTGGCTCCCATTAGGTGTCCAGTTAGTTGAACAAGGGCTTTGGCTGATTTTTTAGATAGCAGTAGCATTTTGGTTTGGATGAATTTTGGATACTAAGCTTAGGCAAGCCTTTAGTTTGATAAGTCACCCGACATAAATGACATGAAGTCTGAGATGCATGTAGAGATGTACCCTGGCTACAGGCAATGTCTCACCTTTTTATTCCAATGTAGATGTGAGAGTGTGTACTCTGGCAGCCGCTGTGAGATTCACAATGCTTGGTCACCATTGGTCATTGCCATGGTAACGGTTGCCGGGATACTCCTCCTGATCCTGGTTGGTGTGTTCATCTCCTGCTGCATCTTCTTCCACAAACACCTAGAGGAGACGAAGGGGCCCAAGCACGCAGGTGATGTGGAGGGACGGGACTCATTTCTCAAAGTGTCTCAGCCTGTGCTTCCCTGGAGATCCTCGTCACCCTCCACTGATGAGCCACCCCATCACCCTAGAGGTAGTCATGTCTCCACAAGCTTTGCCTTGCAGTCCACCCGTTTGGATGCTGGTGCTGGTTGCTACAGACGCAGTAGAGATGATGTAAGTAGAAAAGTTTTAGAATAAAGTTTGCGTTCAGAGGGATAAATTGTAACCTCAGTGAAAAATTGGCAGATATATATGATCCACTTCGAGTCAAAAAGCCACTTTTCAGAATCTCGGTGTCAGCTTGCATTACAAAGAGCAACCACATGTCTTTGTTCAGATGTCCGACTTGTTTTGGGCATCCTGAGGAAACTTTATCGGTGAAAAACGTTGACATTTTCTATTGATTTCCATTATACAAGATTCTTTAAAGGGCTGTTACTCAAAAGTGGCTTTCATGACTTGTGACTCATTTTCATAGTGCGGGCCACTACTCATTTAAATCCGTACCTTAAAAGTTTGGGATTAACATAAAAACCATTGCATCAGTTAACAAGCAATGGTATTTCTGCACTTTGCAGTTTCTATTTCCTTTTGTTGATTCTTTTTGTTGTTTTGTTCCACACGTCTGGTGCTGCAACTGTTTTCAGCAGCTAGTTCTGTGCAGCACATAAAAAAATTTGATCGAAAGCGTTGATATCCACTTCAAAATTTGGTCACTGGTTACGTAAAATTCCCCGCCTTGTACATACACAGCTACGTTAACAAGTTGTTGAATCTGCTAACACAAGATTAGAACACAGCATAAGTACAAGCAGCCTAGAGGGATGATTGCATTTACATTTGTCATTCATTACACCTTCAGGTTCCAAATGGCCAACAATCCTCCATGTTCATCAGACCTTACGTAGTAACGGGCCAAGAAGCTGCCATGAGTTCAACCACGGTCCTGAATAACTTGTAGATGAAACCAACCTTTTTAATATTCATGATGATTTGATGTCTGATATTATTGTCAAGATATGCTCATGGGGGCTGTAGCTGAACAAAATTCATTCTAGCACAAATGTTTGACCATTTTTCAGAGTTTTGATTTTAATTATGCTAAATTTGAGTCAAATCCAACTTGACTTCACTTTGATTACAAAAGTACAGAACAAGTTGATTTATTGCTTAAATCTTACAATGGTTTCGAACATGTCAAAAAATAACTTAGCATTCCATTCATTTCATTAGCACTCAAAAGTATTTTAACATTCGTCTTCCGTCAGTTTCTAGCAATGTAGATGAAGCCAGCTTTTTGACACATGCTAAAACGTGTCAGTTAACTTATTTTGTATTCGAAAAGGTATCCCTGGCATTACTCCATGTCTCTAAACATTTGTTTGAACTGTCCTGGCAGCATTTTGGGTAGATGTGTTTTAATTGTTAACGTTAATGATTTCTGGTTGAGTATGTTTAATATCTGAGATGTAAAACTAATTTCTAACAGAATTTTGCTTTAATACTGTCTCTCTAAAGGACATAGCTGAAGTTCACTTTCTTTGATGTTGTTTTTTAGAACTCTTGGTAGAGTCCTCCAAGCTGAGGCATTTTGATATCGATAACTTCTAATAAGTTAGGGTTTACATTTGGTGATAAGTAATAGATGTTGGGATAACGCCATCTAGACATGTAAACCGAAAAGGTATCTCCGAAATGTTGTGCAGAGACGAACGTTTTGTTGTTTTATTTTGTTTTGTTTGTCTGTTTTAGGATAACATATTTTTAATTACTATCAAACTCTTCACATTGTATTCCACATATCCTGCTCGCTAAATGGTTTGTATATATGAATTGTTTTATAGGTTATTGAGCTAACAAAGGTGTATGCTTCAGATCATCATCATGGAAGTTTAAGAATGTATAAAAACACTTGAAAACTAAAATCAAATTCAAAGCACATAATTTGATTTAGTTTTTGAATTTTTGAAATAAGAAAATGAAGAAGGAAAGCTTCAACCTTGTTTAGAAATGAAAGAAATAAAAGGGGATAATACGCATTGCAATACCTAAAGCTTACTCTCTCTGAGTGTTTGAAATAATTATGGTATTACACCCCGTGACCCAACTTCCCAACCCAGCCCTCGCGGAGCCCCGAACACACAAAAGCGGGACTTTTCCCCGGGACTTTTCACCACCGGGAAAATACTGGAGGCGCCAGGGGAGAAATTAGATAAATTTTTCAACATTTTCCTAATATCAAATGACTCTAACTTTCGCCACTCAATTTGAATACACTAAATTAGTCGCTGCACACACAGCGTGGTTAATCGCTAATGGTTGCGAATTGCAACGAGATTCAATTGCGCAGGCAAAGCTGGACGTGCAAAACCAAAGACTCGGCTTTTGTTTAGTGAGAAAGACCAAGACCGGCAAACAAGTGTACAAGCCGAAGTTTTTAAAAATCGATTTTTAAAACGTTGAATATGAAAATGGAGACTCACACTTTTTTACTTGTGTCAAAATCCTCAGACGTTTAAATTGAAAAATGTCATTGATAATTCAAAGGGCGATAAGGAAATCTCAGTTAAAAACATTTTATTTGGAAGAGTTATACATCAGAATTGGATAAACTCGCGTTTATTTATTGTCCCCAATTGGACACAAGCTATAATTTTTACAACGGGCAATCGTTTGACCTGTTACAAGTGATTTCAACAAATCAATATTTCCGTAGCAACTTTTAAACGCCCAGAAAACTGCAACGGGGAAATATAGGCGAGTTAACTTTTTACCTCAGATCAGAAAATGGGGGACTATTACAAAATGAAAACGACGGATTAATTATCGAGCTAAATATATTCGTCGCGAAAAAACGCGTATATAGTAAAAAGATGACGACAAACAACGAGTCAAATATTAATCCGGATTTTAACTGGGTATCAAACGAAACGCGGCTAAAATTTACCGCCTTCAAAAGATCGAAGAAATCAAATATCAAATCCAAAAAGAACGCGACGCGCGCGAGGCTAGCTACGAAAAGATTAAACGGATACTCACTGCACTCGGTTACGTTGAGTACGGCGTCGAAGCGATAGGTGCAACCTCAGCAGCTGTTGAATTCCCGCCATTTTGGGATTAATTACTGGTCCCGTGGGACTAGTGATGGAAGGCATTGCTATCGGCGCATTTGGTACTTACGCGATGTTAAAATACGATCGAGGGGTACGTGTATCACGCGATTGAAGATGGCGACATATCGCAAGAGGAATTTGTACTGATTTTATCCGAGCTGAAAAAATTTAACGAGATGAAAGAAAAAATTAGGTCAAATACGACAACAAAATTACAAGAAAGTAAACCGGCGAGTAAAGAGGAATTCGAACGGCAGGTCAACGAAAGAGCGGAAGCGCTTGCCAATGAACGAGCGGCAGTTTTTAAAAAAGATCCTATGAAAAAACTTGGTGAATAAGTTTGCACAAGTCGGTCAAATACGAAGACCCGCCTCCGTCGTACCGAAAAGCAAGCAAAGCGAGCGACCCAACGGCACCTCCTTTTATAGCGTAGTGCAGTAAATAAACACGTATAAAATATATGGGAGCCAACTTTAGTCATGTATCAATCGTAGTCAATAAAGATAACTGGTTTTCAGCTGAGTTTTCCCATTTAACGCACGTGTATAAATAACTGAGATTCACTACGGATGAAGCGGTCAATCGCTGGTAATTGAACCGATTTCGTTCTATCAAAATCAATTTAGTTTTGCGGTATATTGCGCGACGACGGCATGTGGAGTGGGTTTTGACCTAATGTCCGATTCTAAATCGTAATTGTCGGCGTTGTTTAATTTTCACATGTATTATACCGTGAAAATTTTTTTTTACGACTGCGTGATGCCCATTCCGAGTGACGACGTATTTGACGCGTTGCACAATAATTCAGATCATCGCAAGTTTACAAACGCGTGTTTTTTATACGGGGTCGATCCAAATAAATCGTATAAACAGACGCGCGATAAATTATCAAACGGATTAGGAACTGCTTATTATTACGACAACGGTTACGTACCTGTCCCTAATAAAAATTACGATGCGCACGACTTACACGTCACCAACGGCAAATACGCGGGGTCTACTTAGATGGGCTTCGGCTGGGCTGATCCGCCTGAAGGCTCGGGTCACGCGAGTACTTATACGGTCAACTGGGTTTTGCAGTCGGACGTGGTTACCCGGGCTTGTTGGGATTTTATTCCTAAAAAAAGGAGCTTGACGAGCGTGGGCGTTACAAAGGTAAATGAATCGATTCGAGCTTATGTTTACGCGTTACTCGGGCACAAGCTCAGACCATGACCAGCGTCTTAGCCACTGGCACGGGATTAGACGCACAACGACAATTTATTACCATACTGGAATCTCTAATAATTTCAGCCCCCGATCTCGAGCAATCGATTGACCAAATTCAGGATTCCTTGCAAGATGCCAAAACGCCTTTAAATTTTGTAGTTGCACTGGGGTTATATTTGGTGCCTTCCGACATGGACTTACGAATCGGCACGTTTGAAGGTTATAATAATCATTTACAATCGTGACTGCAGATATGATGACGGGTTATGTACCGACTTTAAATTCCGGTGGCATTTTAGACAATCAAGTAGAACCGCCAATTATTAAAGCCAAATTTAAAGCCAATTATACCAGAACGTTAGCCGTTAGAGGCGCATAACGAACAAAAAATGTCTTTAACCATAGAAGCCATCGCCATCGGTGGTCTCGGTTTTATGTTGTATAAAGTATTAACTTAAACGGATTATTTTAAGGCAAAAAAATAAACTTAATTTTTTTTCCTATTATAAATTCGTTTATATATTTTGCACGTAAGTTAAGATCAAAACTGATGCGCCTACAAATAGAGTCCACACGTGTTCCCCGATCCATCCAACCGCCTTACTTGCGACGTTTAATATCCACCCTAAAATACAGCCGAATATCCCGGACAATGCCGCAAGCGCCTTCAATCCGATTTTCTTCAATACATTTACCAAACTGCATAATTGACGCTTTATCCAATCGGTTATTCCGCCTTTTGACGGAAGTTCTGGCGTCGGTTCAGATGCTGGCGTTGGTTCAGGCGTCGGTTCAGGTGTTCTCGTTGCTTTCACACTTGCGGTGACGCTAGCTATAATTGTACTAACGGCCAGTCCAAAAGCCGTTAAAATGCTTACGATCGTCACACCTTGCTCTCAAAATAAAATTCTAATTCTCTAGCCTAATGTCAAATCAGAATCCATCACTGCAGTAATTGTTTCTTTAATCCGATTAATTTGCGTGCGGATTTAACTGCATTTCTTTTAATAACTTCTAATTTTCCTTTTCTCTCGATTTGCAAATCGTCTAATTCTCCGTGAGTTCCTCGCGTTTGGCATCAGCCCGTCGCTTCCTCTAATTTATTTTTCACCAGTTGAATCTTGTCGTCTAATTGGTCTAACTTGCCCTGATTTAAAATTAATTCTCCGTTATACGGATCTGTAACGATTCGTCTAGGGCGGCTAACTCGCGCTAATTTAATCCCTCCGTTTGTATCTGTTTATTTTCTCCAATAAAATCTGTTTGTGATTGCTTATCGCTCATAAGCTTTTTGACAGTTTTGCTAACGCGACCCGCAGCCGCGGCCAATTTCTTTAACTCGATTCCCAGTTGAATCGTTTTTGAACTCTGGATCGCCAGGGCTATCTTTTGGCCGTAATCTCGAAATCCTAAGATATCTCTTATAAAACCCGTACCGGAATATCCAGCATCTCTTGCGCGTTCGGCTACCGTTTCAAGAGTTACAAATAATACCTCACGCGTTGCCCATCTTCCTGCGCCTTTGAGAAATATTCCTTCATTTTGGTCTAACTGCAACTTGTGTCAATTTTGATTCAACTAATCAGGTTGTATTAAAGGTATCGCCCAACTCTTCTTTATCGTCTTCTTCTCTTTCATTTGAGGGTATATCAAAATCGTCTGGATCAAATCCTCCTTCAGCCATTTTTATAATATACGTATTTTAAGTGCTGGGCAAACTCGCGGGCAATATTCCTTGTGATTTGAGCCATCCTTGCTTGGCCAACGCGCCGCTAGACACCGCGGTTAATTTTTACGCGTCCTCAACAGATAACATATTTAGATCTGGTGGTTTGATTTTAAAAAGCTTATTTGATAGTATGGCGTAACCAATAGAAATCAGACTAACTACGGCACCGTTTTTATTGTATAGTATTTTTATATACAGCATTTTAAAATTTATTCCATGTCTAAAATTTCAGGTGTTTTAATTTTTGGTTGAACAGTTTGTAAAGGCAGTGGCTGAACTTTTGCAGGCGTTGACTTATTTTTCAAAATTAAAAATACTGCGACTGCGCCAATCGCTTAACCGCCCAATATTAAATTTCTATTCTCCAAAACCGTTTTATAAATTTTATTTCCGAGCCAGGGTCACTCGCTTCGCTCGCTTTCATTTTGGCTAACTGCTGCTTCATCTTTCTGTTATGCTCGGCTAATTTTTACCTTGTTCCACTCTTTATGGATTTTTATGTTTCGTTACCGTTTGAACTTGAGTTTTGGCCGGACTTGGTGCTGGCGTTGGCATTACTTCTTCTGTTGACATCTTTTATAATAGAAGCATTTTTATTTATTGACAGATGTTTAGTCGTTATTAACGTGGCTACCAGTGGCGAAAAGTAGACACCGTATTTCTAGCAAAGTTCACTTAAAAAGTGGCTCATTGTCTGATTTATAATTGGATCGTTATTTAGATCTTTCGTCAAATCTTCTTCGGAGTTTAAATCGATGTTAAAACCGAGAAATTAAACAGGAGTGGCGATTCCCAAAAGACGCGTGTACAAGCGTTACCAAGCGTATTTATGAATATTCTTTACCCAGGTATTTTTTGGATTCGCCAGAGGCTACGATTGAACAGAGGCGGTCTTTGACGTTTGGTTTTGATTCTGTGGATTCATTTTTTGTTAATAATTGACTTGATGTCTATTTATTTTGTAAAAAGGCCCGTGATCCGTCAACAAAGGCGCGTCTAACG